TGGTTGAGAAGATTCTGTCTGCTGGGAATCTATTTTAAGACTTATTTATAATTTATGGCACTCCTATCAGGATCACTCCCAAGGGTCCTGTAAGGATCACTACCAATCCCAAAGTTGTTCCTCTTATAATCACTTCACCTAGACCCATCCCATATTCTTCGGATAAAGTTATCCCTTGGAACTATGGATCCGACATCTACTACCATGGCGTCAAGCAAGAACTACCGATTACTGTGATTGAAGATACTAAAGGTTTTGATCCCGACATTTACTAGAAGTGGAAGGATTTTCTCTCCAGCGATATATCCGAAGATTGATGCCACACTAGTTAGAGTTACTGCTACCAAGTCAACTACTGAGACTCGGGGTAAAGAGCAAATAACGGAGCCTGCCTAGACGAAGGTGCCTGAAAAAGTTGCAGTTGAAGATACCTCCAGGATAGAGTTAGAGGAGGTATTGAAAATTATTCGAAAAATCGATTACAAAATTGTTGAATAGCTGGAGCATACCCTCTCTAAAATATCCATGTTGTCTTTGTTACTGTGTTCTGAAACCCATGCCCAAGCTTTAGTAAAGTTCTTAAAATCCATGCACATACCACAAGAAATTTCTGCCGATCAATTTGGAAGTTATGTTGCTAGCCTAACCACTGATAATGGGCTAGGTTTTTCTGATGTTGATCTGACTTTTGAGGGAAGAAACCACAACAAGGCCATGTATGTCTCTATGGAATACAGGGGCACTACTTAAGCGCATGTGTTGGTTGACATTGGTTCCTCGCTAAATGTTCTACCGAAGGGCGCTCTTGACAGACTCGATTATGAAGGGGTTACGCTGAAACCCAGTGATATCATAGTCTGAGCCATTGACGAGTCAAAGAGGATGGTACATGGAGAGATAGATCTCCCGATTAAGGTAGGTTTGCAGGTCTTTGAATTTACCTTCTATGTAATGGACATCCGACCAGCTTATTCTTGTTTACTCAGACGCTCTTGGATTCATGGGGCAGGTGAAGTTACTTCCACCCTACACCGGAAGTTGAAGTATCATATGAAAGGAAAAGGTGTTACTGTTTGTGGTGAAAAGGAGTATATGGTAAGTTTTTTGAACTCATTCTGATATGTAGAGATGGACGGAGAATTCATCGAAACCCCCTGTCAAACTTTTGAAGTTATCCCTCCTACCACTACTAAATATGTTTCTGTTATTCCCAAGGTTACCAAGTGTAATACGGTGGGAGAACTGACTTTTGGTTTTGCGTTTTATCTCAAATGTTGCAGATAGCAAGAGTCGCCACCAACTTTTCTTTTATCCAATAAAGGAAAGGGTGAAAAGAACAGGAAAGACCTTTGAGAATTTTCTGAGTAAGGGGGGTAGGTTATGAAAAGGGAAAGTGTTAGCACCCTTTTATCCGTAGTTATCTACGGGCTCTTAATTTCTAGATCACTTATTGAAATGCTTTGTGTTTGTGTATGTTTGAAAATATTTTGAAAATGCCTATGTGAGGCAATTTTGTAATGATTCTCGTATCGTTGAGAATGTATACAAAATGTTTGTTTTGAAAATATTAATGAAAGAGAGTGTTGTTTTGTGAAAGAATGTTTGAAAGTGAAAATGTAAGGCAATTTGCTTTATAATAACCCTCGTATCAGTCCTCAAGAGTGTTTATAAAGCATTTTTTGAAAGTAGTTATTGTTGAAAGTGTGAAGTGTTAAGATTGTTTTAGTTTGTGAGCAAGCGATTATGAGCGACCTACCTACTCGAAAAGTCTTTGTTCTTTTCCTCCTCCTTTAGATAGTTCTATCCTACCATCAGTTAGTAGGAAGCCCTATCATTGGATGTGGGGGACAGGTGTGGGTCATCGTACACTCATAGAAGGCACCTTGTAGCACACTTTAGAAATTATCGTAAGGGACTAAGATCGTTTACTGAAGGCAGCATCAAAGGGTCATCGAGGGACTACGATCTTTTAACTGAGGGCCTTTGCTAAAGCATCATATGTTCGAGGGATATGACTGCTTAAATCTGAGGCAATAAGTGAGGTTACCCTAGAGGTGCGCGTGTGCGAAGTGTTTTGATTTCAGTTATTTTTGTCTTGAGATTAGGTTATCTAACAATTGATTTTAATCTTGCCATACAAACCCTAATTACTAACAATAATAAGGAAAGCAGTAAATTGTGGAAATTAAATGTTCTACACTATTACAAGGCCTCGGGAATGGGGGTACAAATTTGTGAATGGGGATGAAAAAAAGCAGTAAACCCTAATTTATCTATTACAAGCTTTGAGCAATTATATAATTGGGAAATAAAGTATGCGAAGATTTGTAAAATAGAGAAAAGAGAAAAGGAATTGCTTTGTGATTTTTTGATGGAAAAAGCTTGATGATTAACCTAATTGTTTGATTAATTTTTTATTAACAAAAGTTCAGTAAAAACCTAAAATAAATTTAACAATAAATAAAAAAGGGCCAATTAATTTAATTAATTAAAAAGAAAGCTAATTTAATTAACTTAATAAAAAAGAAGTCTAAATTAATTTTAATTTTAAAAAAGAAACTAATTGTTAGAAAATAATTTTGATGTTTTATTTAGAAAAATTTATGAAATGTAAAACCTAATTCTAATTAAATAAAATCAAAGTGATTAAATTAATTTTTATTTGTCAAAAATTAAATTAATTGATTAAAAACCTAAATCTAATTTTTTTTATCATTTTATGATTTTTTGTTGATTAAAATAAAAATTGAAATTAAAAAAGAAAAGAATTAAATAAAACAAACAAAAGAAGAAAAAAAACAAATGGGCATGTGTTGTAAACAAAAAAAGGGGGTATGAAATCAGAAATCCACTAGGCCCAAACACCTTAAGCCCAGGCGCCTATGTCATTCAGTGTGGACAATTCCTTGGAGTGTACCATGGGGCTTGCACTTGGAGCATTGGATATGCCTTGGATGAGATCTAATGGTGATGAGGTGAGGGCACATGATGGAGTTAAATGGGCTTGGTGTGCTGAATCTACAAGAATAACAAAAGGGTACCACTGGGGCTCGAACCTAGGTCCCTCAGGTCAAAGTGACATGAAACGCGTGCTGCTTGCCACTTGGGTGGCTGTTACATCCAGTGATAAAACATGTTGCAATAAATATAAAGTAAACTCATTTTTGAAATTTTGAAGATGAACTTCATCTTCTTCCTCGCGTCAGAACAAACACCAACATTTTCAGATTTTGTAAAAAGCTTCATTTCTCAACCAAATTGAAAGATGTAAACATCAAACTTGCTTGATTTTTTACCACGAATTCAACCATGTAATTTTTGGAAGATATAAGTTAAAGGCTGAAACGAATTTTGCTTGGTGCCAAATTGAAACCTAATATTTCAGAAACTTCAACTCCAAAATTTTCATCACAGAGTCAACATAAATGAAAAGTGAGGACATGGTTAGTTTCAGGGCAATCATATCTAGATTTTATCTTTTGAAATTGAAAGCAAATGATGCGTGTATAAGGATTTCAAAGTTGGAGAAACTTACCTCTTGAAGTGAAAACTCAAAACGTGTATGGAGGCTTCCAGGTGCAAGTAAATGATTGATTAAGCTTCCTTGGACCTCCCCGAAGCTATTCCAATCCTAAATTTATGCTGAAAGTGTCTGAATCTATCCAACCAAGTCAATGTGCAAGCTTCGAATATGGAGTTTAGAGGATGATGAAGATGGTGTTACAGAAGTGTAACAGGTGTTTAGATGTGTTATATGTGATGTATGTAAGGTGTATGGATGATAAAAAAGAGAAACGCACAAGTGGATTTGAAGTCGGGTGTTGGAAGCTTCAAATGTGCAATAATGGTGGTTTCATGGTGATTCTGAGTTTAAGAATATTTGAGGGCTTCTGAAATCGTGCATTGGATTGCAAATGACCTCTTTATTTATATTCAAGAGGTTTGGAAGACTCAAGTAACCAGATTTTCAAGATAGTATGTTAAGGTGTGGAAAATTAGTTTTAAAGTAACCTTGAAGAACATGGTTCCAATGCATTGTACCTTGTCTCATAGAGTTGTTGGATACTTTAAGCAAGCTTATCTGATCTTTTAAGTTGAGTGTGTACAAAGGAAACAAGTGAGAGACTCAAGGAGTTGACAATTGCATAAAGCATGCTTTTCCAAAATGGAAGTGTTAACTTTGTGCCATTAATGAAAAATTGTTTTGGATAATGGCTTGAACACTTGGATAATAACTCAAAAGCAAGTGAAATATTATGATTAGGGAGATATTTATGGGTTTAGAGGCCTGCAAAGTGAGATTACAAGGCATGGCATGAAGATTTGGTTATGAACTTGTCACAAAAATGACATATAATGCAATCTTAGATACCCAACTTCATCTCTTTGAAACTTCTAGCTCAAGTATGATAAATTTGTATTCTTGGAAATTTTGGAAAGCTTGAAACACTGTATACAACTTTCATGTTGACCACTTTGGCTAAATCAAATCGGAACTTGGTGGAAATTGCCAAGAAGTTAGGATAAAAAACTGGTCAAAACTTCACTACGCCAAAAATGATTTTTTGTATCACCTAATTTAATAGCAGTTTTAAAAAAAATGCTATTAAAATGGAAAAAACACATTTATAATAGCACTTTTTAATCGGGCGCTATTATATAATACAGACTATGTAATTTTGATAGCACTTTGTACCAGAACGCTATTATTAAACTTCTTTAAGATAGCATTTTGTATAAAACGCTATTATTTGACTACCTATATAATAGCATTTATTAAAAAGCGCTATGTTATATATAATAATGAATTAATTAATTAATTGATAAAAAAAAAAAAAAACACATTTTCAGAAAATTGGGTTTCCCGCATCCACTCACCGCCAAAAACAAAAACACTACCATTGATTCTCCCAAAAACATTATCTTCCTCTGCTTCCTTCTTAGCCATTGATTCTCCCAATCCTTCGTTCACTTCGCTCTGAACTAAACCCATCCTTTGAATGGCTTCCACCCAATCCGCCTTCGCGGGAACCATTCCGGCTCCGAAGGTTAGGGTAGTTGCAAAAATTCGTGGGTTTTCGGATCCAGATACCAGTTTCGAACCCTCCAGAACTGTCGACTGGGTTTCGGTGAGCACAGAAATTTCCGGGGAAGTTACCATCTCCTTTAAAGAACAATCTTCTAGGTATGATTACTTTCTTAGTTGTTCACTTTTCAGCTTGTGATTACTGATACTTGAATGGAGAATCGGACATTGAAATGATAATTGAAAAAAAATGAGGAAAAATGTCAGTTTTAGGTTTTCTGAGTTATGCAATTTCAGCCGAGATTTAGGGTTTCTGAAGTATGCAGTTTTTGTATTGTTTGTTATAAGGTTAGTGTCTGAATGAGTTATGCAGTTTTAGCTTAGTGAAGTTGGGTAGAAGAATGAGAATTCGTAATCGGAGATAATTGAGAAATTCTAATTGATAAAAGGTTTGTGGTCTTGAGTTCTGTAATACGGGAAGAATAGTAATTTTCATAAATTATAATTTTTTTCTTTTTGGGTAAAATTTCATAATGCATAGCTGAATAGTAACACATTTGAGAAAATAGGGTAAGTAGTATGTTGTGTATTGAGAATTAGATTCTGTACTGTAAAATATTTGTTACATTTATTTATTTGTTGGCTATGATGAAAATCTCCTAGTAGAGTTTATATCTCTCAACTTCTCTTCAAGCTTTTGTTCTTTTCTCTTGGTTGATGTAGTTAACTAACATGTTTTTATCGTGAAGTTTTAGTTCTTTCCGGTTTCAATTTCTGTTTAATTATTAAATAATCTTGAACAGTTTTGTTGTAGGATACATTTCGTGAAAGCTTGTAGTTTTTTTTTTGTAGCAAATCTATGAAAATATTTGCAATTGTTTTCTTGTAAACATGTTGTTTTTAAATTGGGTGATTGCAATTACTCGATTTAATGTTAATTCTTGCGCTGCAGTCGGTATTCAGTTGACTATTGCTACAACGAACATGAAGATAATGAGGTAATCTATTTAAATTTGTATTTGCTGGCTCCTCCAAATCTGCTGATACCCTTTTCAAGTAAGTCCTTCCTTCTCCTTTTTTAGCGCTTCATCGTAAATACAAGTCATGTTTTTTAGCCCGTAAGAAGGAAGTTATTTAAAGCTTACATATTGATCTTATTATCACCAACCTATATGAGGTTATAAATTGGCTATGAAGTAGTTTTGTGCTTCCATGCTTGATATTGTGAAAACTACTATGTCAAACACCACTTATTCCAACCAACAAGGTTTTAAATTGCCTATAAAGTAGTTTTGTGTTGCTATTGTTGGTATTGTGAAAAATTGATGTCAAATACCACTCATTCCGAGGAGTTAAGTCATGTTTCATGCCTTGGTACTGCAAGAGTTTGATCAAATACAGTTGGTGCAGGCTCAACTGTAGTTGCGTTATAGTTGCAGAGAGATAGAAAGCCTCGACTTTGTAGTTCAGATTCCCGTCCTAGACTTTTATTAAAATCTTAGAAGATGCGGCTGCAGTTGCACTTGCTGTTGCAGAGACATGGAAACTTGATATAACTGCCGCAGTTGTAGTTGCGGATAAGTTTTGGATCCTTTGGGAACATACCTTGTTAATATATCATTATTGATATTGTTATTTAGTAAGCTCTTATTGATAAATATTTGACTGGAACAAATATATAGCTCCTCAGCAAGTGCCAGTTCAATATGGAGGACTTAGCAGAGAGGGTGAACAGGAATTCACCACTGCTGACCCTGCTACAGAGGTTATTATCAAACCAGCAACAAAACATGCTGTTGAGTTCCCAATTTCTGAGGTGAGAATAAAAACTTGTTTCATAACCAAAACCAATCTTATCATGGTTTTGGTTTTGGTTTTAAATTGTGGTTACATATATGCTGTGACCCTTTATACCGCAATTACTGTTGTGAACTGCAATTTAAAACCATGATCTTATGTGCATATTTAGTATTAGTATCTTAACTGAATCTGAATGATTGAATGAGCAGAAAAGCACCTTGGTATGGGAAATCAGAGTGGTGGACTGGAATGTGAGCTATGGAGCAGAATTTGTGCCTAGTGCTGAAGATGGATACACAGTGATAGTACAGAAAAACAGGAAAATCTCGCCAGCTGATGAAACAGTAATCAATAACACCTTCAAAATCGGTGAACCTGGCAAAGTTGTACTCACCATTGATAACCAAACATCAAAGAAAAAGAAGCTTCTTTACAGGTCCAAGACCATACCCATCTCTGAGTAAAAACGGCTTCAAAGAAAAAAGTCTGAATTCTTCATTAACAAAGAGAATGATGATACCAAGGTGAAGAAGAATACTAAGGGTGTTGTTTTGTATTCATTATAAGGATTATAACACTGTTGTGAAAGTTATTGGGTGGGTTACTTATATTCTTTTATATAGGGTTATTTTGTTCATTTGGGTTGTAAATTGTTTTTGTTTCATGTATGGGGTTTGGGAAATTTTATTTACAGTTATTATTACTTATTAATATCTTCAATAGTAATGTGGTGTTTTCTTCTTTTGAATTTGAATTTGTTTGTTATGGACTCAATTGGGGTTCCTTTATAAAAGAAATTTTCATTGTTTTTGTTTATAATTTATTTAATGTATTAGTTTTGTTTGGTTCCCACATGTTTGTTTTCTGTTTTCTTGGAGGTTTTGGGGTATGTTCTAGGGACATATTACCACGCCAAAATCGCCCCACACAAATGGATTTTGAAAAATTGTATGGCTTTTGTAATTCACTCAAAAGTAGATTGGAGGTGCTAGAGAGAGAAAAGATTGAGAGAGATAAGTTGGATAGAGAGAAGTTAGAGAGGCAACAAACTGAAGAAGTGGAAGAAAGGCAACAACCTAAACAAGTGTCAGAGAGGTTGCAACAACCTGAAAAAGTGGCACAGAGGCAACACCTTGAACAAGTGGTAGAAAGGAAACAACCAGAAAAAGTAGCTGAGAGTCGACTACCTAGTGATAAAGGTTCTTGCAACCCTGGATCATTTGGCAACATTCCCGAGGTAATTGGTTTCTTTATTATCTCTCAAATTCGATATGTTTGTTCTTTCAATAATGATGTTAATCTTTTTATTCATATCTTATTGGTTTAGGGTCTCTTTCCTGTTAATATATATTTATCCTCCCCGGGTCGTTGTTTGGTTGCTCGTGGAAAACTATATAACACCAAAGGTAACACGGTACATGGCATGACGTTACCACCTGGATATGTCAAGGTTAATATCGAAGTTGCTATTGTGCCAAATGCCCCATTGCCTATATATGTTGAAGATGGAGATGTATCCATGGTTGGTCAAGCAATAGGAACAATTGTGCCATGGCCAACGAAACTTCTTGAATTTGTTGCTGAATGTGAAAAGGTAAATTACTTATAATCAAGTTGCTTGATCGCTACTGAGTGTTCTTTCTTGGTCTCGAATTTAAATTTTGAAATAGGAAAATACGGAAAAATGACTTATATCTTATTGTATGATTGATTTATAGTTTTCCGTTTCTACTTGAAATTTTTAGATATTCGTAGTAACAATTGTAAGGTGTTTGATATCTAGTTCTGGATCATGAAAAGAAAGTTACACACAATTAAGTGTTTATGTATATTTTGAGAATTTGAATTATATTCTGTTTAGTGTTTATATGCATCTAATAATGGAAATTGTGGTCTATATATTTACAAGTCATGTTCTTGTTAGACTTAATTAGTTCAATTATTGCATTAGTTATATCGATTTATTGTTATTAGTTTATAATAATCATTCCTTATTTTATGCGCTTCTTGTTAGACCCATATTAAATGTTTGATTATTCTTTATATGTTGAATTAGTTTTTATTGTACAATACATAATCAATATTTCTTCTATGATACAGGAAAACAAGAAGCAATTATTTTGCCTAATTAGTGATTGTATCTATGAGTTCAACGCTTTTGGATCATGAAGGTGGTTACTACATGGGATTGTTTTGTTATCCTTTCTTATTTTTTTGGTGTTTTGTTTAGAGAATTTGATTGTATGTTTTTGGATTTGGATTGAAGTACTCATAGATGGGCATCTACAAATTTGGCTATGCAAACGCCCTCTTAATATTCTATATGTTATGATATTTGGAAACAATAGGATTTGGTAATTTAAAATGTTATTTGGTATTTGATGGATCATAATATATATGCAATGAGTAACTTAAAGCGTTATTTGTGTTGAATTGAATATAGTTATTTTATATTTACACCAAAAAAAATGATTGTGTAAGAAAAAATATTGTACTGTACTTATTAAAAATATTGTACCAAATATGTACCATTTATTAGCACTTTATTTGAAAGCTCTATCAAACATATGTTATATATTAGCGCTTTTTGTTTAGAGTGCTATAAAAAAACAAACAAAAAACATGCAAAATACTGACTTTGATAGCACTTTAATTAAAACGCTATTATAAATTGGTACTTTAATAGCGCTTTTAAAGTGCTATTAAATAAGAAATATTTACAATAGTGGCGCGGTTAATAGCACTTTTAAGCGCTATCAAAAACAAAAAAAGCGCTATTAAATAGCTTATTTGGCGTAGTGCTTGTTTGAAAAAATTTCTAAGTGTTGGATAAAAAACATCATAACTTCATGGGCTTATATCTCTTAAATTAAACACTTTTAGAGGATCATCCCACATTATCAAAGTTTTATAATTCATCAATCCCTATAACTTTCATGTTGAAAGTTTTCCTTGAATCAACTTGTATCTTGAGGAAACTTGCTTGTGAAGTTAGGGTATTTTAGGTACAAAACACTTGAATTTTTTCGAAGTGTTTGAAAATCATGACTTTTGACTTTTGTTGACTTTCTTGATTCTTGATGACAAAGTTTGATAGTTTTGAGTGTTTTGATGATTCTTTATTTTTGAATTCCAGTGTTGACTAAAAAGTCAAAGTTTGACTTTTGTGTGATTGTTGACTTTTCATCAATTGATCCAATTCTTCAACTATCAATCACTTGTATCTTTGGAAATGTCTTGAACCATGTTATTAGGTCAAGATTTTGTATTTGAACTCTTGGGATCATGCTTCAAGCCATTAGGTCATGCACTAGGCCAACAGTCAATGATCAGTCATCTTTAGTCAAAATCCTAATGTTGGCCATTTTTAACCTTTGATGATTGAGGGATTTCCTTGAGGAATCATGATAAACCCTTGACAAAATGATGAATATCACCTCAAAATGTTTATGTTGACAAAAAATCTTGAAGTTTGACTGTATGTTGACCACAGTTGACTTTTTTTACTCAATACAATTGATTTTCAATCATCTGAGTCATTGACTGAGCAAACATGTGATGCAAGACTTCAGACTTGACATAAGCATTATTGAGGACCTATAATGAACCATTAAATTCATTTGAGACCCTTGCAACCCATTCTCCCTTGTACAAGATGAAACCCTAGTTGTGGATCCATTGCTTAGGAGGTGAGTTTGTCTGGTAAACTCTTGAGACTCCTTGAGTATTTGAGAATATTAGAAGAATGCCTTGAAGAAAATGGGAGGGAAACTTTTGGGGGTACAATAGTTGTCGTTGTTCAATATTCTTAAACCTGAAGAGTTATATTGGCATGTCTTTCATTTGTGACTTGAAGGTAGAAGATGATTGAACACTTAAGTGCCCAGAAATTTGCACTCGCATGTTCCCGAAGTAATGTTGTTGGTTGATTATACCAGAAATGGGCTTAAAGATGCCATTTGGAGAGATGATGGAGACTTATCAGAGATGGGCTTATACATTCCATCCAAAGTAATTATTAATAGAACTTAGATTATGTCTACGCTCGGCTTTGATTGGAAGAAGTATCAGAATAAATCTACGCTTGATTTAATATGAGCCAAAAAATTTATACTAGAAGAAGTATTAGAATAAATCTACGCTTGATTTAATCTGAGCCAGAAGATGTTTGCGTTCGTCTTTAACTGGAAGAAGTATTAGAATAAATCTATGGTCGATTTAATCTGAGCCAGAAAATGTCTACTAGAAGAAGTATCAGAATAAATTTACGCTTTGATTTAATCTGAGCCAAAAGATGTCTTTGCCTGTCCTTAACTGGAAGAAGTATCAGAATAAATCTATGGTTGATTTAATCTGAGCCAAAATAGGTCTTTTTATCTTTAACTGGAAGAAGTATCAAAATAAATTTACGCTTGATTTAATCTGAGCCAGAAAAAGTCTACTGGAAGGAGTATCAGAATAAATCTATGGTCGATTTAATCTGAGCCAGAAGATGTCTTTGCCTATCTTTAATTGGAAGAAGTATCTGAATAAATCTATGGTCGATTTAATCTGAGCCAGAAAAAGCCTACTGGAAGAAGTATCAGAATAAATCTATGGTTTATTTAATTTGAGCCAGAAGATGTTTGTGTCCGTATTTAACTGGAAGAAGTATCAGAGTAAATCCATGGTTGATTTAATCTGAGCCAGAAAATGTCTACTGGAAGAAGTATCAGAATAAATCTACGCTTGATTTAATCTAAGCCAGAAGATGTCTTTGTCCGTCTTTGATTGGGAGAAGTATCAGAATAAATATATGGTTGATTTAATCTGAGCCATAAAATGTCTACTGGAAGAAGTATCAGAATAAATCTATGGTCGACTTAATTTGAGCCGGAAGATGTCTTTTCCTTTCTTTAACTAGAAGAAGTATCAGAATAAATCTATGCTTGATTTAATCTGATCCAGAAAAAGTCTACTGGAAGGAGTATCAGAATAAATCTATGGTCTATTTAATCTGAGCCAGAAGATGTCTTTGCATGTCTTTAACTGGAAGAAGTATCAGAATAAATCTATGGTCGATTTAATCTGAGCCAGAAAAAGTCTATTGGAAGAAGTATCAGAATAAATTTATGGTTGATTTAATCTGAGCCAGAAGATGTCTGTGTCCGTCTTTAACAGGAAGAAGTATTAGAATAAACCCATGGTTGATTTAATATGAGCTAGAAAAGGTCTTTTTTTAGAATGATCCTCTAGGGAAATTGCTGAAATAGCCCTTTGCTGGGTGTAGCCTTAGAGAAGATTGTCGGGTCATATAAGTAGTTGATGATGTTTTTCAGTTGATTGATCTTTCCTGAAAAGGTAAAAAGTTAGTTGTATGCAATGTCATGGTGTATGAAATGCATTGCGTAATGATGTTCTCAAAATAAATAAGATTGTGCTATATGCGTTTTGTATGCATATGCTATGATATTGGTAAATGATG